TTTATTTTGTAAATGATTCACTGAAAATTATGTTTAAATGGGTTCTTTTAATGCACTTTAAGTTTTATTAGCTCCATGAGGTTATTTATGCAAAATCCTTGGCAAGGTTTGGTAAGGCGGGTGGCCGGAGTATTCAACGGAGATACAATTTGTCGGAGACGACTTTTAAAACAGGGTTACATTAGGGATATGGTTCACAATGGTGCGTTTTAAGTACTGTATCCAAGAAACTGCGGCTAGAATGTTAACCTTCTGCAATGTTTGATCCTTAGTAAACAAGGTACAATTTAAACATATATAAAAAGTTGTAAAGAAGTTTTCATTTTTCACACCTTTCAGTTAATAGAAAAAGACTTTTTTTCTAGAACCTGAATTGCACGGAGACAAGATTCTTGCAGACCTTTCTAGCGTAGTCGAACTATACTGCGCTCCATGGATTATGTTTACCACAAATCCATTACAGGTATATATTTCTCATGAAAACATTTGAACATTAAAAGAGAATATATAACCTAAGCATGAAACTAATCGGAATCTATTTCATGACTTAAAAAAGTTTAATTGAGTTTTAAACTTTAGATCGCTGGGTGTGAGCAATCCTGATCTCTATAGGTTGTCATGCTACAAAATGATCCTATAGGTAAATAATATTTATCATTCTCTAAAACTCTGATAGATGTAAATATTAATTTGTTATATGTACTGTTGATTGATTGATTGATCATCTAAAACGACAATATTTTTAGACGTTGACTATCAACCATGAAGCAAGCTTTTAACCTGTGAACATTGACTATCTCTCTTGTAACTGGATAATGTCCATAATGTAAGTACTCATTTATTTACAATTCATGAAAGCCGCGCCTTATAAATAGCTGATTATATCTTTAGATACTTTACCTATTTTTATATATTTATACTAATCTAATTGTGATTTGTTTTCAGTTATCACCTGATTAGAGGATAAATAAATACATAAACTATTTTGGAGTTATCTTCTATACCTCGAGTTATAAAGAGGAGTTATTATAACAATCAAAATCTTCAGCACGTCCATGAGACATGTGCGACCCAAGAAGTGAGAGATAATACTCATTTAAAGATACACTTTGAAACCCTATAAACCCTGAAGTCTCACACATAGACCAAAAGATAGTTTTGTAACGCTCATCAAAACAGCCGGAGTTTGGACAGATGATATGGCAGCTATTATAGATAAGATTATAGATGGTTGTGAAGGTTGCATAAAAAGGCGGAGAAACCCGGATAGGCCTGCAGTTGCTATGCCTATGGCTACAGAGTTTGATGAAAAGGTTGCAATAGATTTCAGTTTATATAAAGGTACTCCTATTCTTCACATGGTGGATATGCACACCAGACTCACTGTTTCAGTTAGGTTGAATAGTAAAAGACCATCTGAAGTGATAGAAAAGATTATGCAGAAGTGGGTGGCATATTATGGATTGATGGGGGCCATCTTGAGTGACAATGGTGGTGAATTTACTGCTGAGGAGTTAACTGAAATGAAGTCTATGTTAGATATTGTGAACCTGACCACAGGTTCTGAGTCTCCATGGCAAAATGGACTGTGTGAGAAAAATCATGCCATTATTGACAACATACTAGAGCGCCTGGATGAGGATTACCCTCATCTTGACTTGGATTCTAAGCTAGCCTGGGCAGGAATGGCGAAAAACTCTCTGCAAATGACCTACGGGTTTAGTCCAAATCAACTTGTTTTTGGAACAAACCCAAGATTGCCTAATATAGCTACAGGTGGTTCATCTACACGGGAGGAAGGAACATGCAGTGAATCACTGGCTAAGCATCTGAATCTGTTGCATTCGTCAAGGAGAGAATTTCTCAAGTCTAAAAGCTGTTCAAAGCTGAAGATTGCTTTAAAAGCAAATATAAGATGCATGGAAACAGTCTACAACAATGGAGACATTGTGTATTATAAAAGAGCTAGAGATGGAAAGTGGATGGGTCCAGGAGAGGTGGTTTTCCAAGATGGGAAAGTCATTTTTGTTAGGAATGGTGCAACATTCATCAGAGTAAGTGCAAACAGGATTGTTAAAGCAGGATCAGAACTTGCCAAGTCCATTTTAGCAAATGAAGACATTCAGGAGATTGATGACAATCAAAGTCTGGACACATTGACTGAAAACACCAGTCTATCTGTTGGAAGGCAATTCTCTTTCAGAAACTGTTCAAAGTTCTGAAATAGTTGAAATTTATGAGGATAATGATAACACTGATAATAAAAATGAAGTCACAAGAGATTTCTCAGATAGAATAAAAGCGAAGAAAGATGACAAAGTAAGATTCCGAGAGGGAGAAGAGTGGATAGATGCAACCATTTCAGGAAGAGCAGCAAAGGCTACAGGAAAGTACAGAAACTGGTATAACATAGTCAGACAGGATGGCAAACCTCCTCAAAGTGTGGATCTGGAAAAAGTTGAATTTGAAATTCTAAATGAGACACCGGAAGAAACTGAGGAAGCATACGCTGTAATGATTCCAAGAAGAGATCAAAACACACAGGATTGTTTTGATGCCAAGACAGCAGAATTATCTAAACTCAAAGAATTCCAGACATAGGATGAAGTAGAAGACCTAGGCCAAGATTACATTTCTTCTACTTGGGTGATAACTGACAAAGGTGGAGCTAAGAGAGCTAGACTGGTCGCCAGAGGTTTTGAGGAAGAAGGAGAAATTCAATCTGACTCTCTTACTCTATCTAAAGCTGGAATGAGGACATTCCTTGCTAGTGCTGCGACTAAGGAATGGACAGTAGAAACAACAGATATAAAGAGTGCCTTTCTTCAAGGCAGTACAGTGGAAAGGACTATTTTTCTGAAACCTCCTAAGGAAGCAGGTTGCAATGGCAAATTGTGGAAACTCAAAAAGGCACTGTATGGCTTGAAAGACACTGGTAGGCAGTGGTTTTTTAAAGTGAAGGAGGAACTGATCAAACTCAGATGTTTCCAGTCAGATCTAGATCCTGGGATGTTCTTGTGGAAGAACTCAGCAGGAGATGTTACTGGAATTATAGGCCTCCATATTGATGATTTTCTCCACTCTGGAGGAGCAGAGTTTAACAATGCTGTCATAAGGAAGATCCATACAGTTTTCCAGGTAGGGAAAAATGCAAAAGGTCAGTTTATGTACACTGGATTTCAGAAGGTATAATGATTGACCAAAATCAGTACCTTGAAAATCTAGAGGTTGATAACATAAATCCAGCTAGAGTCGGACATAAAAATGATGACCTGGATGAAAAAAAGAAAACAAAGATAAGGAAGATGGCAGGTTCGTTGAACTGGATTGTCAGAGGAACAAGACCAAATAAAAGTTTTGAACTTATTGATGCCAGTACTAAGTTCCAAACAGGAAAAATTGAGGACCTCGTCAGACTAAGGAAGACTCTGGTATCCATGAAAGAAAACAAAGCTGAGATTTATTTCCCTAATCTAGGAGATCCTGTTGGCTGGACCCTTGTCTGTTTTACTGACGCTGCTCTTGGTAACCTCAACAATGGAAAAGATAGTACTGGAGGACACATTGTTTTACTGATGAATACTCCAACAAATATGTGTTCAGTATTAAGACTGGCAGTCAAATAAAATCAAGAGAGTTGTAAGATCTACTTTAGCAGCTGAAGCCCTGAGTCTTTGTGATGGTTTAGAAAATACTATTTTTCTCAGAGATGTTATTGCAGAAGTATGGAATACACCTGAAAAGATAAAAATTCTTGGAGTTGTAGACAATATGTCAGTAGTGGATGCCATCTCATCAACTACAAGTGTTGCTGATAAAAGGTTGAGAAGAGAGATTAGTGCCATCAAGGAAATGCTTTCTGGTAATGAGGTCACTTCCATCAAGTGGGTGCCTGGAAAGCTTCACTTAGCAGATGTATTGACAAAGCGAGGAGTAAATGATGTCTACTACAGGTTGTTCAATGCAAGTCTACTACAGGTTGTTCAGGAAGGGTCTTATAATTTTTACCTATTGATTGCCTAATCTGATTCTGCCCAAAGAATCATTACGTACAGCATTTATTTCTGATGCTTAAGTCAATGATCAAAGGGACTATTTTTTTTTCATTTTTAACTGTGTGACAATTTAGTGCTGACCATAGCACCTATTTTTATTTTCCTGTAACCAGAGTTCTGTTCAAAGAATTCTGATATATTTTATCAAAATGTTTCATATTTTATCTTTTTGGTTTCTTTTTAGAAAGAATGCCTAAAATACAGAGGATTCAGATTGCAAATGCTGGAGCTTCTGTCAGACATGTTGTCATTGGACATTCACAAGTGAGAGGCTGCTGGGATCAAAAATTCAAGGAGGAATATTTAAATTTTCCTACTGATTGGATCTGTGTCTCTGGGGGCAAGTTGCCAGAGTTGATGATGATGATTAAAGAAGAGATAAGGAATGCTCATATTCCTTTGTGTGTGACTGGCATCATCTGGCAAAACTCTCTCCCTGATCTACCAACCCAGTCTGTGCTGAACACTATCACAGAATTAGAGGAATTCCTAAAAGAGTTCCCAGAGCACAAGGTAGCTTTACCTGAATGTCTGTTTGTGCCTAAGTATCATTATTTGTTTGAACACATTGCCCGAGTGAATCTTATCCTGGCTGATTACAACAAGCGGCACGGATTTAGTAAATATTCACTCTACAAGTCCACTCTGAGAGGAGGAAAAGGGAAACTAGTTGTTGTGCATGAAGAATATACAGAGTTCTTGCAGAGTGAAGGACCAGGATATCATATTGACAACAAAGAGAAGTACACAAAGTTCATTAAAAAGTTTCATTTTCATGGCTTTGGATCAACTAGAAATAATGAAACTCTACCAACAGTTCTGACCGAAGAACTAATATGCCTATTTTGATCCCAATTATGAATCCTTCTCCAGGATTTAAAGTTGATGCTAGGGATGTAATCAAAGGTAGAAGAAGTTTAGAGTTAGGACAGGAAGCTGGAACTTCCAGGAAAGCTAATTCTGAGAAAAGTGTAAATTTAGTTAACAATGCAGAAAGTGATGAAGAGATTGAGTTCATCTGTGAAGTCAAAAGAGAGCAAGAAGTCCAGAAGGATGACCAAATCCCTCTAGAGTATGCTGAAAAAATTGCTGACCAAAGCGAAGTGTTTCAAATAACTCTAGATAACTCCAATACTTCTGCTGAAAATAAGATGTGGAAAGAAAGGCAGGAAAAGTTATGGTTAGAAGAAGGAACCTCTAAAGGATATACAGAGCAACTGCGAAAAACAGAGAGGAAGGTAATCTGGGGTAGAATGTATGAGAAAGCAAGAAAAGTAATGCAGAAGAAGAAGGAAAGAAAGAGCAGAAAGAAAAAGTTGAAGAGAAAGAGGAGGGAGGTGGAATCTAGTTCCTCAAGTAGTTCATCTACTAGTTCATCAAGTAGTTCATCTTCTACATCCTCAACTGATAGTGAAGAGGAGAAGAAGGGGAAGAAAAAGTTGAAGAAAAGAAAATAGTATGAATGTTACTCTGTATATCTATGCATCGAAATACCAATGTGATTCCTATTTTGTGATTGTTTTTACATAATCACAAGCAGGCAAAGTACTACTAATCTATACTTCCAGATAAGAATGGTTGTCTGGGGGTTTTTGTTTACCCTGTGAAAACCTATAAGTTTTTTATTACAGACTAAGAATGGGACTAAAGCACACAAGAGACTAATAAACAGTTTACAGGCCAGTTTTATCAAAAAACCCGGATTTTTTATATATATATTTTTTTAGGTTGTTGAGCTAAGATTGCTCATTGTCAAGCATTTTTGTTAAGGACTATGGAACAGTGTTGAGAGGAAACCATGCCACCACAGATGTGATCCTGCTGGCTTTATTTGTTTATCATGTATTGTTTAATCTTTGTATGAGAATCATATCTGAGATGTTTACCATTTCAGATATTATACAATGAGCTTGGACTCCAATGATTATATAAATTGCCAATAGAACCACCAGGAAAGCATCTTTATCATTTATTTATATTTTGTTCTTTGTTGATATTCAGATTGATCTGGAATAAGTATTCTATATTGACATTGTTAGATGCTTGTACCAGATTTTCAATCTGTACAAGACCTGCCTCAGCTGGAACAAGATCTTACGTGTTATCTGTTGCAGATAAATACATGAGGTCTCAGATAAGAACCAGACGTTCTATAAGTGGAGAATAGGGGCGTGGCCAATATGCTTCGATCAGGCGAATCCTAAGGTTCTTAGATCAACATAGGTTTTGGGTCTTTATGGGTTTTTCAATTTGAATGTAATTAAAATCTACTAAAATTCATTCTAATTCATAATAACAAAACTATTTACGCAATAGGTGAACTTTATAGTTATGAAAAATAATAATGTTGTTGTGATAATAGGCTATAATCATACATAAATACTCATCAAATAATCTATATCCTTGTTCTATCGCAAGACATTTTGAAAATTGATGTAGTTCTGTGTATCTTCTTGGGTTTTTCAATAAATTTGATAGTTGTGATTAAAAAAACAAGCACTACAGATGATGGATATCTTCAAAAGTTTCTACAATTTAATTTGTCTAGTCTAATACCAGAAACCAGCTTAAAGTCCAGAGCGACAAGGTTGACACTTTGATTAATTCAATATTTTTTTTGAAATAACTCAATATTCGAACAATATTTACTTTATTTTTTTTATTTATTGGTTTAAGTCTTATGAAAATAAGCCCACTTACTGGTGGGTTTTATTGTTTTTTTTTAGGCTGGTTTTTTTCTGCCAACCCTGAAGACCATGTCACAAAATAGGGGAAAAAATTATGTTTAATGTGGCAGTCTGCGTTAAACTTGTGAAACTTCATCAGAACTATCTTAATAAGATACAAGGTTTCAAGGCCAGCCTTTTACATACATTACATTAAAAACAGCAACGTAAAAATTCGCAAATTTCTGTTCTCATCAGTGGATTTCCAACATTCATTAAATATCTAACAAAGGGGAGGGTACACTTTTCCCAATTGAATACATTTTGGACTTCTGTTTTCATTTTTTGAGGAATCTGAATGAAATTTTGCATATGGGCATAATTTGTGTTTATTTTAAGTAAAATAAAAAAATATGGAAAATATTTCCCCCCTCTTTTTCCATGTTTTTTTAACCTTTTTCACCAAAAAGTCTGAGTCAAAACCAGCTTAGTTGCTTTAAACAGCTGCTTGTTGGTCAAGAATCTCATTACTAACATTAGAACGAAGTTTAAGGTTTTTCAGATCCTTTTTCCGCCTATTTTCCCCTTATTTTATCATATTTTCCCACTTTGATAATATTTTCAGATTTTCTGGATTCATGGATTCATTTTTCTAAGAATCTGAATGATATTTCCCCCCAACTTTTTATTTTGTTTTTCAAAAAAAATCCAATTAAGGCAGGTGTTTAAAAAGTTCTTTATTTGTCGATGAAAACTGAATCCATGATTCCAGAAAATGTGAAAACTAATAACAAACTGGGAAAATATGATAAAATATGTTTTTTAAATGAATTTCTTCAGTTAATTACATCATTGTTTATAAAAGTAGTTACTTACCTTTATTACAAAAGTGGTGGGGGAGAGGTTCAGGTAAATGGTGGAAAGTAAAGAGAAATATTAAATATAGCTTGCTTGATTGATTGATTGAGCGATTGAATAAATGATTGATTGATTGACTGATTGAAAATAGCCCCCCCCCCTTTTTTATATTGTGTACAAAAATAAAATCCAATTAAGGCAGGTGTGCAAAAAAAATTGAATTTTTGTTGAAAAATTATTTATGAATCGAGAAAATCTGAAATAAGGAAAAATGTGGAAAAATGTGGGAAAAGGGGGAAAAAAATAGGGGGAAAAGGGATCTGAAAAACCTTAAACTTTTTTCTAATGTTAGTAATGAGATTCTTGACTTACAAGCAGGTGTTTAAAGCACCTAGCTGGTATTTGACTCAGACTTTTTGGTGAAAAAGCTTTAAAAAACATGGAAAAATATAGAAAAAAATATTTTTTCCCACATTTTTATTTTTGTTTACTTAAAACACACACATATGATACACATATGCAAAATGTCATTCAGATTCTTAGAAAAATGAATCCATGAATCCAGAAAATCTGAAAACATTATCAAAGTGGGAAAATAAGGGGAAAATAGGGGGAAAAAGGATCTGAAAAACCTTAAACTTCGTTCTGATGTTAGTAATGAGATTCTTGACTAACAAGCATGTGTTTCAAGCACACAACTGGTATTTGACTCAGACTTTTTGGTGAAAAAGGTTTAAAAAACATTGAAAAATGTGGAAAAAGAGGGAAAAAATATTTTTTACCATATTTTTATTTTATTTTACTTAAAATAAACACAAATTATGCCCATATGCAAAATTTCATTCAGATTCCTCAAAAAATGAAGACAGGAGTCAAAAATGTATTCAAATGGGAAAAGTGTACCCTCCCCCATAAAGCATTTTTGAAACCTTCCCTGCGAGTTACTACACAAAATTTGGACCTGTGTGGTTCAGCTGTTTTGACGTTTATTGAATGCAATACTACAAACCTTGCATTGGTTTCACGGCGTACTTCTTTACCCTCTTCATCTTCCACTGGTCTCCAACGTATTGTGTTCTCAACCTTCAGTTTAGTCCTATTTCGTCCTTCTTCGTCCTAAATGTGATAAATTTAGTTTCGCCCTATTTCGCCCTGCTTTTGTCCTAAATATTATAAATTTAGTTTCATCCTATGTCGTCCTTCTTCGTCCTATAACGTCCTAAATGCTATTAGTTTAGTTTCGTCCTATTCTGTTCTCCTTCATCCTTAATATTGTTAATATAGTTATGTAGGAGTGGATACAAAACGCCCAAAAACAAAAAGTCCAATAACAAAAGATCCAAAATTACACATCACCCAAAAACAAAACGCCCAATGTTACAAATCGTCCAAAAACAAAACACCCAAATAACATAACACCCAAATAACGTAACACCCAAAACGTAACGCCCGAATTTACAAAATGTCCAAGGTTATGAAATATCCAAAGTTACAACTTTTTGGTTCTTTTGTACTATTTTTATGTTCATTTAACCTGGTCTATAATATTATTGACAAGGTCTTGAACATCGATGCAACTTTTCATAGATGTCTGTATCTATGTGGGTTAAAAATCCTTTCTTACTAACAAACAAACTACTAAGTTACAAAATGTCCAGAGATAAAAAATGTCCAAAATTACAAAATGTCCAAATGCCCAAAATTGACAATGTCAGACATTGTCTAAAAATGTCTTGCGTTGATTAAAAAAATGTAGTATATAACATTTTGCATACTATTTTACTAAGTATCTTGTATCTTAGTATGTTAGTTAGTATGGATTTTTTTGTTTAAAAATAAAAATACGAGTTTTTATGTTGAAATTAAACATTTTATTATTTTGATATTTTCGAAAATTTTGAACATTTTGTAATTTTTGGACATTTGGACATTCTGTAACTTTGGACATTTTAAAATTTTGGGTGTTTTGTTATTGGCCATTTTTGTATCCACTCCGTTTTGTACTATTTCGTCATTCTTTGTCGTAAATATCATTAATTTAGTTTTGTCTTGTCTAAATATAAATTATTTCGTATTGTTCTTAACCTATCTTGTCCTAAATAATAATTACTCCGTTTCACTATCTTCCCGTTTTTAACTATTAATTACAGTGGATAGTGTGGGAGGGGGGGGGGGGGGGTTGAACGTCCTCCTTCACCTTGAAAACTCAACCCTTTAATTTTGTTTTCCAAGAATAGGTTCCAGAATAATTGTCATGGTTTTGACGTAAAAATGACAACATAGAAACCATAGATGGGGGCGGGGGAGGGGCAATGGCATTCCCGTACACGCCTTCATAGAAAAAAGAGAAAATTGTGCCTTTTTGAAAACTTCAAATTTTTTTGATGTAGAAATATTTTAAATGATTTCTAGTATAAAAATAAAAGTAATTTTTCTACGCTGACCATGGGCTTGCTTTAGAGAGAGAGAGGGAGCGGGGTGATAATTGATAATGCAAACCCCTGTTTAGTATTCAACTATTATAAACACTAAACAGTGTTTGATTATAATTACTACTTTCTAAATTTCATTATTCTCCATATATTCATCTAACTCGTCGTTGCGTTCACCTGCTGCTGGAGGGAATCGTCATCAAGTTCGTCTTCATATGTATCAGGATGGAAAGGACGAGACTCAATACTCAAGAAGTTCGGCAACTTCACAAAGTGCATTTCTCGACCTGAAACAAATAATTTCGTTTCATTTCGATTTATTTTATTTTTCAATCCCAAATCTATAAAATGTGTTATCTTCCTATTGATTGCAGCTCAGTCTAACAAACAAGTACGTTTAGAGTTTCCCTTTTATTGACTTATTTTTGGAAAACTAGAACACAATATCTGGCTAATTGCTGCAACAATCAATTTTATTCAAGGCTTGGTACTTGGTAGTCTAAGTTGCAAGTTGCGAATCCGATTCACGACGGTACCCTTAAAGGTGTGTTTGGTCAAAATGCATGAGAAATTCATAATCTTTCCTCTGGAAATCTATTTTCAATTGCGATTTCTGTTTAAAGCAAGAAATCTTCAGCATAATTAATCAGATAAAGTTTTCTGTAATACCTAAGTCTGTCTTGATTTTCGGAACTTCGACATCAATCCTAGTTTCAGGAACCTGTTCTTGGTCGGGATCATCTTCATCTAATCTCTTCTTATCAACCTGGATATTAGAGTTTAACAGGAATATACGTTTTGTAAAAATAAATAACTCTTCATGGTATTGTTAAAATGATAGTTAAGTCCTTTCTCTACCCCCCCCCCCCCCCCGGGACCACATAAATAAATTAGATCATTATTATTTTCTTTACATCGCTATGACATGAATTATGAATTATAGCTAATCAAAAGTAAAAATCAGTAGATCAATCAATCAATCAATCAATCAATCAATCAATCAATCCATCAATCAATAAATCAATCGTGATGTTAAAACTAAATGGCCATTTTTGTAATTACTTTGATGAAAAGGAATGGAATAAAACTGTAGTTCTCAACAAAATTTAATTTTTCTTGACTGAAAATCAATTATTAATTTTATTTAAACCATCATCACCCAGTTGGTTGATTATTGATGAGTGATGATTATTTGAATTTAAAATTTGAAAACTTTATTTATCTATTAACTTTTTTTAAACCAACAGAGGAACACATGCAGAATGCCAATATGTTAACAGAATTACGGATAAAGTTACGGCCGTGTATCTTTTGGTAAGTCCCCCCCCCCCTTTAACAGTTTTTACACTAAAATTAATTTTTCAACAATTTAGTGAAAAAGAAAATATATATTGTACACTGTACAGTACACCTCTTGTAAAAAATTAAAATAATACCTTCTTCCTTTGATTCTCAAAATCTGAGTCAGACCCAGATCCTGCTCTTCCTCCATCGTCATCATACCTAGCCACATCATCATCATCATCAATCACTTTCTTCTTAGACACCTGGATAGCGCAAAATTCAATTCATACGTTTTCAAAAATGGCAATCTAGATTTAATTTTAGTGTTATTTCGGGAAAGAAGCCTTAGTGAAATGTGTTTTTAAATTCATTTATTTTCAAAATAAATAAATACAAAAACACGTTAAAAATGGACGGATAATATTCTTTATTTGAAAATCTACGAAAAAAAACATGTAACATAAAATTAAACAGAAAAATGAGGGAAAACGGATGAAAAGATGTTATTTTAGTGCACACCTTGTCATCCTCATCTTCCGAGGAAATGGAAAGATCATCTCCAAAAACATCTGCAGCATCGACCTTCTCTCCTTCTTAATAAAACAGTCAACATGAAACTGTTATCAAACATCATATTATGTAAAAACCAAATTTTTGATTGGAATAATATGGCATCATGTTATTGATTAATTTCTCCTTCAATTATTCTTGGGCAAAGAATGTATAAAAGGTACAGTTGAAAATTGGGCATGTACCACTTTGAATAACTTGAAAAAGGTGGACTGTATATATACAGGGTGTCTCAAAAAAAACTGTGCAGTTTGGGTATTAACAAACCATTAACACAGGCAATACGCCATTAACACAGGCAATACGCCGTGTATCTCCGCCTTGGTCTTCAAGACAATCACGACAACTGAGTTTTATTACTGAATACACTTCAGATATTCGCCATATACCTGGAATGGAGAACGTAGTGGCAGATACTATGTCAAGACCAAACTTAAGTCCTGAGATTGAATCAGAGAAGATCCCGGCTGTGAATTCTCTGCCCCAAACCTTGGCACACATATATGCAATCACAGTACCAAACCCTCCACCCGGAATAAACTATCAGCAGTTAGCAGCCCAGCAACAGATCTGCAAAGCAGTTCTACAACTTACTTCTTCTGCTAACCTGAAAGTAGTTAATCTTCCAGTTCAGAATGTAGAATTATTATGTGATGTTTCCACTGGAACTCCACGACCTCTGATACCAGATACAATGAAAAGAGAAGTTTTTTCTGCCCTCCATAAAATTTCACATCCGAGAATCAGAGCTACTAGAAGGATGATTTCTGCAAGATTTGTTTGGAAAAAACTCAACAGTGATGTGAAACTGTGGTGCGAAAGCTGCGCAGATTGGCAAAAAAGTTTTATACAGGATCTCAGAACCAAGATGAAATTGTGGACTCCGCCTCAAACTCATCATCACAACAAATCAAACCAAACCCCCTTTGTTCCAGAGGCTCTGAGTAAAGTGGATTTTGTTTTTGTCCATAAGGATGGATATGTTTCTCCACTCTCTCCATTATATGAAGGTCCGTTCAGGGTGGCAAGCAGGTCAGAAAAGAGTTTTAAACTCCATATTGGTTCAACCATAGAGACAATATCCATAGATCGGCTGAAACCTTTCCACACTCAGGATAAGGTTACACCAGCTCAACCTCGTCCTAGAGGTAGACCTCCAAAGAAACCTATCCTCAGTCAGTCTCAATCTCCAATAAGATCTAGAGACTTGGGGGAGAAATGCTCGAAGATAAAGAAGAAAACGAGAATCTAGGAATAAAATATTGCAGTGCTGTATTTTTATAAAAAGGAAATTCATTGCTAAGAAATGTTTGTAATAATTTTTTAGAAAATACGCAATATGTGATGAAAAAATCTTGGAATTTTAGTTGTTCAAAGAATTTGAACTACTGAGGATCGTCATGATAGACGTGAAACATTATGTTTAGTATAATTCTTTTTTAATAAAAAATGTGAAGTTAAAAACTGAAATAAATATATACATATATATAATATATCCATAGACACAGTGTTTCGTCCTATTAGGACTCATCAGTATGGCTCTAATTTCATTTATAGCTTTATCCTCACCTGATTCATCTTTACTCTTGTCTCCATATTTCTTCCTTGCCCGTGCAATATCTGCATAAGAAATCAACTAAGAAAATAAACTTTTTTCCTGACAAAGCTATCTAAGTAAAAAATTCATGAAAAGATTACAACAAGGGAATAGGTCGTAAAAAAACGTTTGAACAAATATTTGGTTAAAAATTAAACCAGAGCTGAAAACTTTAGAATGGTGGATATCAAGATTAATGCTTAAACGCCTAGTTTTACTAAACCCAAGATTATTTTAAAACGCATTCGATATCCAAGAAAGAAGTAAAATTTAAAGGGAGTGTTCGCGAAAAATGAAAGGGGGTATAGGTTTAATGCGATAAAAAAAACGCTTTTGATCGCTACTAATCCTACTGCTATCTGTTGCGTCTATAAAGAGAAAATTGATAAAGACGTCACATGCCGAAGAGCGTAGCGCCCATAAAAATTGAGGAAGTTGGAATATACGACTTGGATCGTAAAAAAATCAATTTAATTTCAAACAAAACATTCAGATATTACAACCTATAGTCATCGATTATCTTTCGCCACATTTGTATATATTTGATATTTCATACTAGTTTTGATTTTGTTTTTTAAAATAATATTTAGCTTACAACTTGTTTTCGAACATTCCTGGAAAATATGAAAATGTCGTCTTCATTACCAAAAATCCTCGAAACAGGAATAAAGTTTTTATAAGTAACTCTCAGATCATAACAATTAAAACATATTATGAAAAATCAACTATATACAAATGTGGCGAAAGATAATATATAAAGTATACTGGTCACATGTCTCCGCCTGTATCACATGGCCACTGTACTGCACTGCCATTGGAGGAATTTCTGGTCAAGTAATACGGACGTAGAAATAATATGAATTAAATCTATAAAAAATAGAAATTACAAATATGAAATTAGAATTAAAGTAAACCTAAGTTACAATTAGCTTTCTTTGGGACATCTTCGTTTTCAGATTGATTGCATATTTGCTGAATTTGACCTATTTAAACCCACTACTTTTATACAAAATTGTATATATATTAATTTTCATATAAATTTGACAAAGTTGTAAATCAATTTCTTGAGATAGGAACATCAGATATAACTTTCATAGGTCGCGTTCGAGAGCTAAAGTGATTGGCTTTCAGCCTATACCCCCTTTCATTTTTCCTTTACAGCCCCTTTAAGAAACCTGATCAGTGATCACCCTTTGGAGGACAACATTTAATATTTCTTTAAGACCCCGGATCACCCTTTGAAGGCAATTTCTTAAAGAAACCTGATCAATATTTTGAGGACAACATTTAATATTTCTTTAAGAAACCTGATCACCCTTAGAAGGACAACATTTAACTCTTTAAAATACCTGATCACCCTTGGAGGACAACCCTGATAACCCTTGAGGACAACATTTAATTTCTTTAAGATACCTGATCCACTTGAGCTCCCGCCAGATAATTGGCGCTTCTTAGGCCTTTCAATATCTGAACTCGAGTCATCATCCTATACAATAAGTAGTAATCTCTTTTTGTTTGTATGTTCGATCAGAACTCTTTATCTCTTCATTACAGGAAGGCAACAGGGATGCAACACTTTTAGGTTCTCAAGTATCTTGAGCGTATTTTTCTTAAATGTACTGCAAATATTAGGGAAGTGTCATAATTTTGTTTAAAAGTTGTTAAAATTTATTACTAAACAAAAATTTAGAAGAATTTATTTTTATGCAAATTCCTCACCTTCTCATTAGCAGGACTATTGGATTTGACAGGACTTCTTGATCCAGACTTGGCAGGGCTGTTTGATCGGGACTTTGAAGGACTTCTTGACTTAGACTTGGCAGGACTTCTTGACCCTGACCTTACAGGACTACCTTGAAGACTTACAGATTTAGATTTTGCTCTTGCCGCAGGTTCTTGGCTTTGGGATCGATGGCTCTCCTTTGCACTTCCAGAAGGTGATCTTGGTGGACTACCAGATCCAGATTTAGCAGGACTTGCAGATTTTGCAGGGGTACCTGATCTTGATCTTTCAGCAGGAGTGCCAGATCTTGATCGATCCACAGGTGTTCCTGATCTAGATTTAGCAGCAGGAGATCCTGATCTTGATTTTGCAAGAGGAGATCCTGATCTTGATCTATCGACTGGAGATCCTGATCTTGATTTAGCCACTGGACTTCCTGATCTAGATCTGTCTACAGGTGTTCCTGATCTGGATTTAGCAGCTGGAGATCCTGATCTTGATCTATCCACTGGTGATCCCGATCTAGACTTATCTGGAGATCCAGATCTGAAATTGTTTGAGTGAGATCCAGATCTTGATTGGTCTGCAACTGGAGAGCTAGGCTGGGGTGATGGACTTCCAGATCTGCTCCCGTCAGAATCAGAGTTTGATACAGATCTAAAAATTAAAGAGTTTACAAACAAGATTTTGTCTTTTTACTTATTAAAAGTTGTTTACCTATTAGAATCTGCTGAACTCCTCCTAGTCCTGTAATTAGTATTCTGGTCTAGTCTACTACGACCCATTTTATCTGGAATTGACTAGATAAGTTGAGTTTGAATTCTCAGTTCACAAGATACAGGACTAATCTAAGCAAAGCAAAGCATGGGACAATAAATAACAATTAAATTGATATTAATTTACACCAGAGTTACATACATCTAATCTTTACAACAAAATGGACCAGATTCAAACATATAACATTAGGTCAAAATGCAGGGGGGTCCCGGTGTATACTAGTGAAAATAAAGAAATATGACAATGGCGAAAAATCTATAAAAAAAGAACTCTTGGGAAAGTTTTTATTATGTTCTTTTGATATTTAAAATTCCCTTAGTAGGCTTTCTATTTCTTTTTTATTTCTAGCCTTTAATAATTTTCTTTTCTTTAGACCCCAATATCCATGGGTGGAACTAGTTTGGAAATAAACCTCTACAAACATTATGAGCAATTCAGCCATAAAAGTTGCCTGACAAAAACAAAGCATCATAAATAATTAATTGAAATTTTACAACATGCTTAAAGAAAGAACATTCAAGTTGTTGCAGAAATGTAATAGCTTAATGCCATATTAGCAAAGCAACTCGTTAAAATATCAGTAAATGGAGTTAAACGTTTAAATACATACATAGAACATTTTAATTTTAAAATTTGATTCTGACAAATAAAATGTGAAGCCCTTTGCTATGGAGGCAGAAATTTAAGAACAAAGGCTAAATATCATAAGTGCTGCAGCTTTTCTTGTCGTTCTCCCCTTCCTCCACGTCCAGATCCAGGTTTCTGTGCATCTTCTCCTTTTCTTCTATCATTACCTCGCTGCCCTCCGTCTTCCACTCTTGCCCTCCCACTATCTCTTCCTGAACCCGTCTCAACTCTTCCCCTCCCATCTTCACCTCTCCCCCTTCCCTCTTCGCCACCACCTCTTCCTTTTGTTTTTCGTTGTTGATTGTGTGATTTACCTCTGAGAATAATACAGCATTATTATTTACCAAGAATAAACTACATAGACAGAAGATCGAGATGTTTTAATTATCACACCAGTGATACAATAACAAATATACCAGGGGTCCATATAATTCCCAAAATAGCTGATTTTCTCGATCCCAAAATAATTTTTTGCCCCCAACTGAAAAAAATGCCCCCAATTGTAAAAAAATGCCCCAAATTAAATTTTTTTTTTCAAATTCCACTAACATATTTGCCCTCATTGCCCCCAATTTGAAAAAAATGCCCCCAATTAATGAAACATTTTAAATTCCACTAACACATTTGCCCCCAATTTAAGAAAAAAATGCCCCCTATTTTTTTTAAAATTATCATTTAAAAAAATTTGCCCCCATTTAAAAACTTTGCCCCCATTTCTTTCAAATTTGTCAATCCCAAATGGGATTGAAAAAGGAATTATACCAATTAAACCAACTATTTAGAAAACATTACTAAATACAAAAAATCCTGGTATAATCAAATAATTGAAAAATATCTATTCCCTTCACCAAATTAAACCATTCAATTAAACCAACTATTCAGAGATTATTACTAAATATAAAAAATCCTGGTATAATGAAATAAATGGAAAATATCTATTATTAAATCCCTTCACCAAATTAAAAGCAATATGTATGTAAAATAAGCATGAGGGTTGCAGTGATATGAAATAATAAAAGCCCTTCTTGGTCCATTCAGTGTTCAAAAGATTTTTTTTTTAAATTTAAATCCATGAAAGTGTCTCAGGGAACCTGCTAAAAGGTATATTCTATTTCTAGTTTTGTACTAATTTGCGTTCCTTCAATTTACACCAATTTCCTTAAAGATAGTGATTGCATCATTTTTATTACAGCCTGTACCATTTAATCAATCAATCAATCAATCAATCAATCAATCAATCAATCAATCAATCAATCAATCAATCAATCAATCAATCAATCAATTTATCAATCAGGAACCACCATGACCACATCAAATCTCATCATGTATACTAATCCAAGATTTAAATAAGGATTTACAATTCGCGAATGAAGATTAAGTCATTTTAATGACGTTCTGCTTTTAGAGTCCATTTTGACTTACTATCAAATATCCAGTATAAAGTACTATGTATTTGCGAGTTGTAAGAAACAACCCATACAAAAAAACTAAAATATTGTTAAACAGACCCTTTCAAAACATAAACATTACATATTTTTCTTTATTAAACAGCAATGTATAAGGTATGATTAATTCCTTCATTTTGCCACACTAAAAATAAAAAAAATTCTGTATTGTAGCCTTATTCCTATTTTTCGCTAGTACTGACAAATAAACTCCATTTGGTTAGTGAAAATAAATGGTCTGTAGTGTTGGTAAAATTGTTGATTAGTAATGTTAGTAAAAATATTGATTAGTAGTGTTAGTAATTGTATTGATTAGTAATGTTAGTAATAGTAGCTGTGTTCCTGTTCAAGAAATGATTTTTACGATACGAGTTTCTTTCTCTTCGTTCCTCCTCAACCTCCTCCTCTTCATCATTCTCCTCTTCAACCTCCTCTTCTCTGAAAATGCATCCATCCAAAATCAAGGGATGTACATTTCTCAAAAATGCTAATTCCGAAAACTATGTTTCTTGGATATTTATTGATATCTGAACTTGCTGTCATTATTGTTCAGTTAAAAATTTTCAGTTCAATTAATTGTCAAGAAAAACAAACATTTTACACCTTTTTAAATATATGCAATTTATTTTAAACTACTTTCTCATTTTCATGAAGTTTTAACATTCTTCATATTTTGTAAAGAAAAGAATTTTTTATTCAATTATTTGTAGCGGTTGTTAACATATTTCTGATCATTACAATCACCATAATCAAATGATTAAAATCATAAGGACAGAGAAGTATGTCTTCATTTCCATAAAAAATGTCAAGAAAAGGCCAGGTGAAGTTTTTTTTATAGAAAATATATACCCCTGGGTTAGTTGGTTAGTATTATTCAGTTAGTACATGCAAGTAAATATAAGAGATATCAGCATATTTCAACTTTGGATATAAAAGATGATCTTATTACATCTAATTTGCTTTGTTTGGCTTTTATGGGTTATTTCAACCAAACAATTTTTATGCAATCTTTTAACAATCTGATTTCCCCCGTTTCCTCCAATTTCTTAACAATCTGATGTTGTTGACATTTGGAATTTCAATGAAATATGGTTTTGGTTTTAAAAATATAAGATTCGCACCATCAGGTTGCAAAGAAAATAGAAATCAGACGATTAGGATTTTCACTTTAGGATTGTTAATATGCTGATTTTTTGTATGTGCAAAGAAATACATGCCCCAACACCATAGGAGTATCCAGACCTACCTTTCTACAGGATGTCCCCGCCCCCCTCCTCCTCTACCCCTCCAACCCTGGCCACGCCCTCCCCGTCCCTTGTCAAACTTGTTGTAGGCATAACTGTGTCCTGGCGAATCCTAACAATAAAAATATTTCAATTTTTAACTCCGCTCAACAAGGGGAAGAAGGCTAGCCACTTTCTACTTATTTTCTCGTCCGAGCCACATCAAATTATCGTCTGATTACCGACTGATATTGATGCTTATTTGCAGAACTTTAATATTACATATTAATTTTTTCACAAATTTTAAAATTGTTTGGGAAAAATTGTTTTATTTTTGCCCAAAAAGTTGCCAGAATTTCAAAAAAAAATTTAAATCTGAAAGGGTCGGACGTTTAAAATTAAAAAAATATTGGAAGGACGAGGATTTAGAGGTGGCTCAGGCGGGAAAATGTGGAGATTGTGGCTCGGACGAGATTTTGTTGTGGCTGGCCTTATTCTCTCGCTCAACACTCAACACAGTCAACAGTGCTTAGAATAAAATGCATTTAATTCATACTATTTTGGCTCTCTGGAACCACACATGTAAAATGCGAATCCAAAATCTAAATAAACCAACTTAAAAGAGACTTAATATATCAACCTGAAAATACAAAGATAAGTTTTTGCTTAAAAAAAACATAATTGAGAACTCGCAATTCAAATAACATATCAATATATTAACAAGAAGAAGAAAATGTTCAACTTGTATGTTAAGAAAGTTTGCTTTCGTAAACGAAATTAGTAAAACAAAGAATGTTTTTAGGAAGATCTTTAAATTTTAATAATAGTTTAACATTTATCTAACTCGTGAGGGTTAACGGGTCTGAGCTCTGTATCGCTATATCAGAAATAAATATCACTGTGTTAAGTTTCGTATTCTGTGAATATGCTATTTTCCCGAAATGGGCACAGTGTTTATAAGCTAGGTCTTTAAAATTTAAGTGACTCTCCATTTATAAGGTCCGATTCACAACGACGGTACCCTTTTAGCTTTTTAATGAGTAGGAATGGATCGGATATCCATTATATTTGCTCTGAAAAATGATGAAATCTGCACCTGGGGAGAAAGGGTGGGAGTACTTCGCTGCGAGTTTATTCCAGGCAATCTCTCATCTATTTAAAAAAAATTTGACTTGATTTAAAATGAAAATGACATGGTAAAAAAATTAAGCTAAAGAAAATAGAAAACTGAGGTTTTAAAATCATTTATTTTTTTCTTCAAATAATCTTTTCTCTCCACATTTAGTTTCTAGAAGAAAAAAAATAAGCTAAGAAGTGAGAAATCTCTTATGGCTGAATTTTGACTATTTAAGTATTTTTCCAACAACCATTTTCAAAGCAAAAGTGGGAAAAAAAGAAAGGAGACATCCATTTGCAAAGGTTTTCCAAGTTTTGATGCTTCTCCCTAATCATCAAAATCATGTTTATTTCCTTCCAATACGTTTTTAAGCTGAGTCTGAACATTTCGGAGGAATTAACCAACCTGAGAAATCTGTTGGACTGAGTTGACCCATCTCCCCGGATTCTGTTGAACCAGTCAACACAAGATACTTCCTGCCCTCCTCCTCCAGGTCAATAATCCCGCCCTTCTCCTTCTGCTTGAGGAAGAGGTCAGCCATCTGTCTCTGCAGCTCCTTCACCTCTTCACCTAAAAGCAGATATTTGAATAATTTTTTTCTTGAAGTAATATTTAATTGATTGATTGATTGATTAATTCTATAACTTAATTTTTTTTCATTAAATAAATTTCTTGAAAATATTTATTTTATTGACAAATATTTACCTTTATCTCATTAATTAAACAATTAACAAATTTTATTGTTAAATTAATACATCGACTATTTGATATGAATTGATTTTAGCAGTCATAAAACTGTTTTATTAATTGGTTAAATGAATGATTAATTAATGGTTAAAAACCAGCTTGATAAATTGACAACTAGCTTAATTAATTTAAAAACAGTTTGATTGATTGACAACCAACTTGATTAATTAAGAAACAGTTCGATTGATTGACAACCAGCTTGATTAATTTAAACCAGCTAGATAGATTGAAAAACAGCTTGATTTATTGACAACCAGCTTGATTAATTAAAAAACAGCTTGATTGATTTACAACCAGCTTGATTAATTGAAAACCAGCTTGATTAATTTAAAAACAATTTGATTCTCGTGGTTTCACAGAGTTCCCAAATCCAAGTTTGATGTAAATCGGTTTAGGAGTTACTGTACTTTATATATATAAAGATGCATACCTATACTTATTTTTAGTTCTTCTGCTCCAAGTATTGGAGGAACTGCTGCCAGAAGCTCCGCCAAATTATACCTGAAATACGTAGAGGAGATAACAGAGGAAACAAATAAAATAAATAATACATGAATTGTTGACGATGCAATAACTTGATCTTAGCGGGGAAATTTAGACATGGATACCGTTAATCCCGATCACTTAATCTGAATCTGAATATCTTATGTGGCCACTTTTATTTTCCTGCTTGGTCCGCTATTTGTCTCTATTTTTGGATTTCTACCAGATTTTGACCAATGAGTATTGTCTCATTAAATGGCATTTAAAATTTAAAATTTCCCGGCTTCTGTTTGTCTGTTCGGGATTCTACATGCACGCCACTCTATTGATTGAATTTCATGCACTACTTCTTGAGATTATTGAAAAGAAGAGATCAAGAATTGATCTAAATATCCACAATTCTAAAGCTTCCAGTGCTTGAATAATTAAGTCAAAATAAAAAGTGATTTACGTTCAAAACTAGTTTTCATAAAAATAAATTAGAGCGTTTAAAATTGTGTTTACGTCAGTGTATATTTATGTATTATATAGCCCGCCAAACCGTAACACGTAAATGATGCAAGTTAGATAAAAAGTAACATTTGTCATTGTCCCCCCATGGGACACATAACATAGGAAGTCTAATGACTTAAGAATACCTGGATTCCCCTATATTCTCCCTGCAGACTGGACAGGTCAGGATAAACTGCATTATAGTAGTGTGCTTGTTCTGTCGCTCAGCTTCACGCCTGTCCTCCTAATCAATCAATCAATCAATCAATCAATCAATCAATCAATCAATCAATCAATCAATCAATCAATCAATCAATCAATCAATCAATCAATCTATCTATCTATCAACAATTATTAATCAATCGAACAATCAATTTAATAAGCAACCACCCATCTATCAATTAACAAATCAATCAACCAATAAATCGATTATTTGATCAACAAAGCAACCAACCAGCCCATCTACCAATGAACAAATCGATCAATAAATCAAACAAATCAATCGATTAATTGATAAACAAAGAAAATTTGTTTTACCTCATATCCGCGCTGAGAACTGGTTATATATCGTCCCAGACAATGTTTGTGGAAAAAATGTAAACATTCTAAAACAAAAATATTTGGTCATTTTGTTACTATTTCTGTAGAAACAAGATTATTAGTTTATTCTGAAGCTGATTTGTGCAACAGAAAATTTTTTTTTCTTAAACTATTTATACAGACTTCAGAGGTTGTAATTTAAAGGGAGTGTTCGCAAAAAATGAAAGGGGGGTATAGGCTTGCGGCGAAAAATAAGCTCTTTTGATCGCTACTAATCTTACTTCTATCCGTTGCGCCTATAAGGAGAAAATTGTTAAAAACGACTTATACTGAAGAACCTACCGTCCATACAAATTCAGAAAGTTGCAACATTCATCTGGGATTGTAAAAAATCAATTTAATTTGGAACAAATCATTCAGATATTACAACCAATAATCATCGAGAATTTTTCGACATAGTTGATATTTCATAATATTTTTTATTTTTTATGATCTCATAGTTATTTTTGAAAACATTTATTCCTGTTTTGAAGAATTTTGATAATGAAGACGACATTTTCATATTTTCAAGGAATGTTCGAAAATAATTTAAAAAGACAAAATCAAAAATAATATGAAATATTAACTATATATGAATGCGAAAAAATAATCGATGACTTTTGGTTGTCATATCTGAATGATTTATTTGAAATTAAATTGATTATTTTACAATCCCAGTTGAATGGAGCAACTTTCTGGATTTGTATGGACGCTACGTTCTTCAGCATGAGTCGTTTTTAACAATTTTCTCTTTATAGACGCAACAGATAAAAGTAAGATTAGGAATCAAAATCGCTCATTTTTCGCCGTATTCCTATACCCTCTTTCATTTTTCGCGAACGCTCCCATTAAACTATACTACAAAGGTCTCACATGATATCGATATTTCACAACAGAAACGTTTAAAAAGTTTTAAGCATAAAACACTGTAGATTACCTCTCTTAAGAGGAGAGAGAATCGACTTAGTGCTTTAAAAACGGACTAATTATGTCAAAAGCACGGGCCTCGGGGGAAATTATGCTACTTTCACCAAGGTAGCTAAAACTTTGGAAGATACTGTAGAGGGAAGACGTAATTTGTTCAGTGAACCTCCATGTATACAGTAGAATATCCGATTTAAAACATGCACCATTAAAAGCTTGTTCTGGTCAAGTATGCATAAGATATCCAGCATCTTCTCTTTGAAATTAACAAATGTGACTAGCGCAGTTTTGATTCAAAAACTGAGAAGGAAATTGTCCGAATTAAATACTTCCAAGCTAGAAAAACGATGATATCTTCCACATTATTGTTAAGATCAGGTGTAAAGTGTATCAATGTAAATCTGACATGCCTCTCTAAATAATTAAGGAAACCAATTGGTTTAGAATAAAAAGACATATTATGTACCTGTTTTAAGAAATTGATCATCTTCTTGGATATTGTTCAAACAGATAATACATTGACAAACAGGAACATTTCTAAATATTGTTCAAAC